TTCCACGCACAAATTTGTGATATGGATTATTATGCTCCTGCTCACGTAAGAGATGTATCCGGTCATTTTCAGTTACTTGGCTAGCAGCCAAGCCGATTTCGCAAGCTAGATGATATTTTTTTCCTGCTTCAAAGCCAGCTGGTACTTTGTCCCAATCATCATGAGATAAAGGATCCAAGTTTGGCACAAGAATAGGCGGACTGGATTTGTGAAGCGTATCCCAGTCTATACCGGCGAAAAAAGGATGAACGAGAAGGGCCTTATGACCACCATTTATCGGACTACCAAGTCGTTCAATTGGACTAATAACTAAAAGAGATTTCACCAAATCCTTAGCGTTTGAATCAAAGCCATCAGGAAACTCAAAGCGCAGATTAAGGACTTTTTGAAAAACTTCGTATTCATGACCATGTCGCTCGCTGCGGAACGGAGGACGTCCAGAGAGCATTTGATAAATTACACAACCAAGAGCCCAGTAATCCATCAAATAAGCTAATGCATGTGAGGGGACACCGTTATGAAGCCACTTTGTGGATACTTCAGTTATTGCCTGAAGATGAGCTTTCTTATCACAGCCTTTACTCTTATGTTCCTTTTTGCTTCGGATTTCCTCTGAAGTCTGACCATCAAAATTTTCTTCAGAAGAGTATTCTTCTTCGCTAACATTGCCAGAGTTTATAAGCGTAAGCATTTCTGGACTAACGTATTGAGGGGTTCCCGTAAAACTGGAGGCTTTGATTTCAAGATGATTTAAGATAATAGCAGATCCAAAATCAGCAAGTTTGATATGCATATCTTCAGTCAAAAGGACATTCTCTGGTTTTAGGTCGCGATGAATAATAGAACAGCTATGAAGATAATTAAGGGCCGAGAGGATTTCTGCAGAATAAAATTTAGTACATTCAACATTTAGTGAGGTTAGTCGATTAAGATAGGTAAGTAATTCACCGCGACGGGCATACTCAAGGACATAATATAAACGAAATGAATCTTGAAAAGTATAGTAAACACGAACAATGAAAGGATGATTGGTACGCTTAAGAACCTCCTTCTCCATCATAACAGAGTCTACAGCCTTGCAGCGAAATACATGTTGCTTATCGACCACTTTCATTGCATATTCAACTCCAGTTGCGATTTCCTTTGCAGAATACACAGTGGAAAAGGAACCGGTTCCGATTTCTTTTCCTAGTTTGAAATCTGATGGACGACGCAAAATAGGAGTCAGACGTCTGCCCTGGTTTAATTCACTAGAGGATCCTTTCTGAGCTTGATCTGAAGGAAGATTAGCCTCCTTAAGGCTATCGAGTTCACTTTTTTGCATCACAGC